CGCCCTGCGCCGCCCCTCCCCCGCCTCCTCCCGGTCCTGTCTCCAGCGGGAGCGCGAGACGCTGGTCAGGCTCCGGCGCAGCTCGAAAATGAACAATCGCCGCGGGCGGACCTAGACGCCGCCGCCGGTCCGCGCGCGGGGTCGCGGGCGTGCTCCGTCCTCCCCCCCCTCCTCCCCCGAAAAGAGCATCGCAACAAAAAGCCAGCCAGCCAACCAAGACTCCGGTTTGTTGATCGCCTTGTTTTGGGTTTTTTTTTTTTTTTTCTTTCACCGCTTGCGGGATTCGCAAACCGCGTTACATGCATGTCCAGTGGGGGTAGGTTTAATTTTGACGATGGAGGGTCCTACTGCGGAGGCTGGGAGGACGGCAAGGCGCACGGCCATGGCGTCTGCACCGGCCCGAAGGGCCAGGGCGAATACACCGGCTCGTGGAGCCACGGCTTTGAGGTGCTGGGCGTCTACACCTGGCCCAGCGGCAACACGTACCAAGGCACCTGGGCGCAGGGCAAGCGCCACGGCATCGGCCTGGAGAGCAAGGGGAAGTGGGTGTACAAGGGCGAGTGGACGCACGGATTTAAGGGGCGCTACGGTGTGCGGGAGTGCACGGGCAACGGGGCCAAATACGAAGGGACCTGGAGCAACGGACTGCAGGATGGCTATGGCACGGAGACCTACTCGGATGGAGGTAGGTGCGGGCAGCGGGGGCGGGGGAGGAATGAGGACTGTCCCCCTCTTTCTCCTTCTGTTTATCTCCCGGGAAGTTGAGCCTCGCCTTCCAATTGGGCTATGGGCTCCTGGGGCATCTCCTAGGTTCCCAGGAGGCCTCAGCCGGGCCCCTGGCCACAGGTTGCCCCACGCTTGATGGGGACAGTGGCCCGTGCCAACCCAAGGGCTGGGGGCTCTCCAGCAGTAGGGCCCTGCTGTAGCAGCTGAGCCAAAGTCTCGGCATATCCTGAGGAGCAGGCCGGAGATCTGCACCTGCCGGAAGGCCAGGCCGGGCCCTCTGCCACCTCTGGGACCAGCCAAAGCAGGAGGGGCCTGAAGATAGACCCTTCCTCTCCATTGGTGGTGCCTGCCTGGTGTCCCCAGAGTCAGGCCCCGGTTAGCTTCTTGTTTTCCTGCGGTGCTCAGGGCCTCCCTCAGTCCTAAAGCAACCCAAGCCAATGGAGAGGGAGCGCTGGGAGCGCCAGAGGCGGGGGATGCCGACCAAATCAAACAGCAAGGCAATAAACTTCTAGGTGGTTGGACACAGGCTGTCGAAGCAGGCTGCTGAAGGGAGGGAGGGAGGGAGGAAGGAGGCCCATCTGTTTAGCGGGAGCCCAGGAATCTGGCCGTTCAGTGGCTGAATCATTTTCCCCTTTAGTTTAGGGAATCGCTCTGCGCCTCCGGTGTAAGATGCCACCACAGTCCGGGCAGAGCCGGTGCCGGAAGCCAGGGAATTGCCAGTGTGACGGTTTCTGTTCAGAAGTCCTAGCTGGCTCGGCAGCCTCGACCTTACCTGGACACTCCCGTGCCCACTCCTCAGCAGTGCTGAGACCTCGGGGAATAGTTATAGGTCTTGGAAGTCAGACCCCAAAGCGGACTCCGTCTGGAGGTCCCCTCCCCCGCCAGGCGCTCATCCCAAGAGGCTGTTCTCTTGCCTCCCTCTGGGCCTGGGCGGCTTCGGATTTTTCGGGCATGGATGCCTGGGAAGGGAGTGAGTTGCAGCAGTGACTTGGGCTTCTGCCGGGAATAGAGAGCTTGATGGAGCCTGTCTGTGTTCTCTGTGCCTGAAGCCAGCTCCTGCCTGAAGCCAGCACCTGCTCCGGGCCACATCTAGGAGTGATCAGGGCTGGAAAGTAATTATTATTTTGGCTTATGCAACTGAAAGGCAGGGTTCGTTATTACCCGAAGAGGAGGCGGAGTCTGGGCAGTTAATTATATAATGCTCCTGCCTGTCTGTGCCTTGCCCAGCCCTGGTCCCAGGCGGCCTTTTCTGTACCGTTGTTTTCGTGGATAAGGCTGGAGAGTTTCCCTGACCCTGGGGCATTGAGGCCCTTCTGAGGTTCCAGGCGCGCGTGTGTGTGTGTGTGTGTGTGTGTGTGTGTGTGTGTGTGTGTATGTGTGTATGTGTGTGTGTGTATGTGTGTGTGTGCGTGTGTGTATACATGTGTACTCACACTCAGTCTTGGTTAGGTCCTTGCAGCAGGTGTGGGTGGCAAAGGTGGGTGGTCAAGCAGTCTGGTGTTCCCAGCAGGGATCCTTAGCAGGCAGCTGTGGCCCAGGGCAGACATCACTCAGGGCTCTGGATAGACTGTTCAGCAAAACTGCCTTTTAGAGGTGTCTGCTCTGGAACAGCTATCATGGTACTCTGAGGTGACTGGACCCATCAGAAGAGGAAAATCCCAGAACACTTGAGGGTGGGGCTCTACATCCAGGCCTGCCCACACCCCAGATATCTATCTCCATTGGCCTAAAGAATTCTTACCTCACCGTCAACAAATGTTTATTGAACACTTACTATGGCCAGATGCTGTACGCTCTGGGAACTCAGAAGCAGCAAAGCAGACACGGTCTTTCCAGAGTGTTCACTTAAGAGGATGGTAGCAATTCTCCATGGGGACTTGGGAGCAGGCACTGGGTCAGCCAGGGACTCAGGGCCTGGTGTGCTGAGATCATCCTTTAGATGACTTCCTGAGGATCTTAGTCCTCTACTTTCCAAGCCTTTGGCCTCCTGTAGTACCTCCCTGAAGTACTGCTTTGAAGTGTAGTCAGCTGAACCAGGGTTGTGTGTGAGCAGAGGTTCAGAGCCTAGCCTTGTGGCAGAGCCCCCCATGTCTGGGGTCACGACCCCTTGCTCCTCACTACCTGACATTGCTCAGGGGTGCTCCTTTTACCCTGAACCCCTCAAGGGGATTTCAGTTCTTACCACTTTCCCTGGAGTGCATGGCGGAGAGGTAGGCATGTGGGTCTGGTCTCGGAGCTGGTTCTCCAACTCTTGGATGTTGACATAGCATGACGGAAATTAAGCTGGCCCTTCTTGCTCTGGATGTTCAAGTACAGGTGTCCAGATCCATTTTTTTCTGAACGTGACCAGCTTTTTGTTAGGGAGGGGTAACCTTTAAGAACTCAGACACTGGAGAAATCATTCTGTGAACCCTGGGTGGGGTGTGGTCAACTGCAAGAGCAGGTCGGGGCCTGGGTACCACGTCCCCTTACCTGGTGGGCACCCGGTCCTCAGTTAAGAATGACTGGTTCTCTTGAGTGAGTAGTCCCCCAGCCTCAGCACACCTTTGGTTTTGTACAGAGATTGGGGCAGACAGCAACAGAACTCCACAACTTTTGCTCAGCGTCCAAGGCTGACTTGGAGAAGCGGTGGTTGTCAGGAACAGAAAATGTATTCTGCATTCAGCTGCAATTGGTACGGAATCCGTTTTGACTAGGGACTGCCAAGTCCTCCTCCAGCCTGCCCTCCCCCAGGCACAGTCAGGCATCGCTCCTGATGTGAGCCCAGTGAGTGACTCTTGAAGTCCGTGTGAGGCCCCAGGGATGGGGTGGGGGCGGCAGGAGTACAAGCTTTGGGGGCATTGACCAGCTGGCCTTGCCAGGGATCTGCTTTGTGACTTTGGGCAAGTTGCTTAACCTCTCTGAGCTTCTGTCCCTTTGTCTTTGCAAGAGGATAATACCGTGGAGTGGGCGAGGATGAGCTGAGGGTGGAGTCCCAGGCTCTGCCAGGAACAAAGTGGGCATTCTTTTCATCCTTACAGTTCACGTGCAGAGAACATAACTGTTAGCAGCTCCTAGGAGAACCATCAGACAGACAGGACCGAGAGGACCATACAGGTGAAGAGGTGATGGGAGATACTTACTGTGTCTCTTACACTTCCCATGTCACACACTGGGCAGCAGAGACTTCGAGCCAGGAGCCTTGAGAAGAGCTGGGATTCTAAGTTAGCTTTTGTTTGCGTCGCCTTCTTATAAACTCCCTTTGCAAACTGCCTGTTGTCTCTTCCACATTCACGTTCCCATGCCGGGGACAGTACCTCTAGGTTCAGGCAGATGCTCTAGCAGCCATCGCCGTCGTCACATTGAGACCCTAGGACCTCCTTACTTTCTGAAGATAAACAAGGCTTCCTCTGGATGCCTTGGACCAAAAAGTCAACCCCCCCCATAAACCCTCCCACACTCTGAGAGATGAGTCATCGTACGCCCCGGCCTCCCCACTCCCCATACGAGCAGGTCCCGTTCACCGGCCCAGATTCCACAGCCCACACACATCACACACACCCACAGTAAGAACTCAGATCCACCCAGGCGCCTGCGCACACACACGCGCACAATACACCTGCCACCCTCGGATCTTCCACCCTGTCCCCCGAAGCAGCCACATGTATCTCCTGGCTTTGTTTGCTCCGCCATAGCCGAGGGCCACCGGGAGTCCCTGCCACCCTGGAAATGTGGGGTTCTGAGGCAAAGGTGGTGCAGCCATTTCCATTTTAAGCCCAAGCCTCTGGCATTGCTGCCCCCTGTGAAGAGAAACTGTTATCAGACGATAACAAACTGAGTTCTTCTTTCAGTCAGTACCAGGGTTCGAACCTTGCTGTGCTGGGTAGACACTCTGCCACTGAGCTATATCCCCAGCCCTCTTTTTAACATTTTTTTTTCCAGTTTTATTTTGGATAGGGTCATGCTAAGTTGTTTAGGCTGGCCTTGAACTC